TGTGTGTGTGTGTGTGTGTGTGTGTGTGTGTGTGTGTGTGTGTGTGTGTGTGTGTGAGAGCGAGCGAGCGAGCGAGTGAGTGAGTGAGTGAGTGAGTGAGTGACTGACTGAGTGAGTGACTGAGGGAGTGAGTGTGCGTGCGTGTGTGTGTGTGTGTGTACATGCGCTCGCGTACGTATGTATGCGCATATACACGCGTATGCCTATATTCCCACGTATGTTTTACACGTACTTGCACCTTAACCCGAACATATGCGTGAAGGCGTGCGAATCGGTGTGTGCGTGCGTGCGTACATGCGACCAGGTAGCACAACCAGGGCCGCAGAATACAGATGACCCGCCCAAGGTTGCAAAATGTCGACATACGAGGGGGATACAGGCCGACCCCTTGTCAAGGCTGATTAGTGTGAAGCAATACAGGAAACTTCAATTGGTTATCGCCAGGTACGGATTTGCCTTTTTCTCGCCCGCACTAGTTGCCTGTGACGGATAATCGTCTGTTACCTGTCATCAGCGCTGTGGCCGAGGGAAGTTCAATAACCGGTGACATCAATATGAAATCACGCGTTACGGATGTTGACATGAACACGCAATAAATTTGTTTGCTTACATGCGAAGAAAAGGGCTGAATGAAAAATACACAGTGCATGATTATTTTTAAATATTTAGATAGAATATATAAATGAATGGATAAATAGATAGATGAAAAAAATAGTAAAATCTATCCCATAAGCTTTAGGTTCTAACTATAGTATCTATTTACCTATGTCCATATATCTTCCTATCTATTTATCTATCTATCTATCCATATATCTATCTACCTACCTACCTACATCTCTATCTATCTATCTATCTATCCATCTATCTATCTATCTATCTATCTATCTATCTATCTATCTATCTATCTATCTCCCAACCTGCTTATCTCTCTCTCTATTTATTTACTTATCTGCATGTGTAGAGGCATAAGCATATTCATCTATCGGTATTTAATCCAGCCTAGACTTCGCCTATTAACACCGAAATAAACAACAATCACTTCTGAATTTCGGTGATATGTGATGGAATAAAATGTCCATTGCGCACTTGATTAAATAGCCCCACACTTCATTAAAAAATTATACCCTCGGTCTGAATATTGATGAAGTTTATGATCAAATGCTGAAGTTTTTTGTTTTGGTGGTGGTGGAGGGGTGGGGTGGGGTGAGGGGGGGAGGGGGGGGGATTTGTGATTTGAGCTCGAGCGAAGATTAAAATGCAAGAATTTAAAAGAAAGGTTAATGAGAATCCTCTATCGATTTTCTTTCCCTTTATTTTTTTCTTTTAGGTTAGTTTAATATAGGTCAATGACGAGCGAAAACATGTGAAAAAAATATTACCGAAATGATAGGCAATTTTTTTTTCTTATCTCCAATACATTCGCAGTGTAAGATCTTATTTTTTTTTTACTCTCTCTCTCCAAAAGTAATAACCTATCTTGGCAAAACTCCGAGGTTATTTCCTGTAAAACTATATTTTCCTTCTAATCAAATATATAACTTATTTTACATCACTCTATATTATTCTATTCATTCTACCTCATTATATTTCTCTATATCTCACAATCTTTACTCTGTATTTCCTTACCTCATTCTCTTCCCACTCCTCACCTTCTCTCTCCTCACTCTCCTCACCTTCGCTCTACCTCACCCTCCTCTTCACTCTTCTCCTATTCCCTTCCATGTTTTCCCTCTCCCTTTACACTTTATTCATCCTCATTTTCCCCTTCCACCATCTCCAACATCCCCCGCCTCCCCCTCCCCCAGCCTTCCTTTCCCCTCGCCGTCTCCAATCTCTTCACCCTCCTCACCCTAAAACTCACCCGCCACGCACCCTAATATTCTCGCCGCGTCGTCTCCATTAAAGCCGAGTCATGAGCGATACAAAAAAAAGAAGAATAAAAAGGAAAAAGAGGAGCAGAAAAAATTCAAAATGCCACAACAATCACTGCGGCGATCGCTCCGGTGAAAGTGAGGGAGGGGAGAGAGAGAGAGAGAGAGGGGGAGAGGGGACGAGAGGAGACGGGGAGGAAGGAGGAGAGAGGAGGGAGGGAGGGAGGGAGGGAGGCAGAGAGGGAGGAAGGGAGGAAGGGAGGAAGGGAGGGGGAGGGAGAAGGAGAAGGAGAGGGAGGGAGGGAGGGAGGGAGAGAGAGAGAGAGAGAGAGAGAGAGAGAGAGAGAGAGAGAGAGAGAGAGAGAGAGAGAGAGAGAGAGAGAGAGAGAGAGAGAGAGAGAGAGAGCGAGAGAGGAAATGAGACGAGAGAGAAAAGAAGAAAAAGTGCAAAGAAGAGCAGAGCAAAGAAGACAGGAGAAGAGAAGAGAGGAAAGAGAGAATGTGCAACCGGAGCTTAAACTCAAGGGACAAAGATGTTGGTGGGTCCGCGCTGCAAAAATGGGGAGTTGGTAATGGCGCGCCGTTTATCACAGGAGGAATATTAAGTTTGGTTTGCATTCACGGCGCTC